ACAGTCCGGCCGGGGCTGCGGCCGCCCCGTCAGAGCGCGCAGGACGGTTCCGCCGAGCGCTTGCGCAGCTCCTTGCCCGCGCGCTGCGGGCGCGGGGGCGCGGGGGCCGCGGCGCCCCGCAGCTCCGTGTCCTGGGGGTGCGCGGCGCCCGCCGCCGCCTCCACGCGCAGGTAGGCCTTGACCTTGTGCTGCCGCGCCGGCCCCGCGCTCGAGTCGATCACCCGGCACTCGTAGGTGCCCTCGTCCGTGGGCTTCACCCGCGAGAGCCGCAGCTTGTGCGAGATGTTGCTGCCGACCACCTTGACCACCTGGGCAGAGCGGAGAGCGGCTCAGCGGCCCCCGCGCCCCCCGCCCACGGGGAGATCGATGTGGCGCCGCGCGGGCTAATTAGCTTTTCTACCAAATTGATTCGCTCTCAGTATTTATCACCCAATGAAATTTAAGACTTACTCACTAGCCAGCGCTGCGGCTGCTCCTGGGCTAGGTCAATAAATCAGATTTACGACCCGCCCCGAGGCCCCCAACTCCGCTCCCTATAATCACACTGTGTGGCAAAGGCCATTTTTCTACTTGCCACAGCATTTGTTAGCTGAGGATTTTATGGTGTGTAGAAATTGGGCTGGAGGCCGCAAGCAGAGAGCCACAAACTCCCCGCAGATTGGGAGATGGGGCGGCCCCAACCCGCGGCTGCACTGCGCTGCAGCGGCACAGCGGGTGCACGTGGAAGTGTGTGTAAAACACACTTTCATACAAAACGTGCGTGAAAGTGCCCGAGCAGCCGGGCCCGGCTGCCTGGGGCACCCCAGCCCCAGCGCCCCGTCCCGCAGTGCTGGGTTAGTGCCGGGGAACGGGGCGAGCAGAGGGCGCCGGGCTGGAGCGCACGGACAGCGAGGCTGTAATGGGGGAGCACCTTTAAAAAAACCTTTGCATTAAAAGAGCAAGGAGTCACTTAAGGAAATTAATGGCTGGCAAATTGAGAATGAAGAAAAGAAAACCCCAATTTGCCGGCACCATGGGCAGCCTGGGAGCCGCTGCCCGATGCTCCCACAGCTCCGTTATGAGCAGCCATAAAAGCAGGCGGCCCCGTCAGCGCGGAGCTTGGCCGCTGCGAGCGGAGCGACGGCGCCTCGTGCTCTGGGGCACAAAGTGGCCCTCGTGGCGCCTGGACATAGCTCGGCAGGACACTCCGTGAGCTTTAAACAGCTCCAGGGAAAGGGCAGGGCTGCGCCGGGTGCCACGGCCAATCCCTCAGGCTCCCCTGGCACCGCCACCAGGCTCACGGGCCGGGAAGCGGCGGCTCTGGAGCCCTGGCTCCTCCAGGAATGGATCAGGCTCCGAGCTGCTCCGCTCCGGGGCTCTGGGTCAATTTGCCCTTTCCCAGCTCCTCACGTTTTACCAGAGCTGCTCACGGCGCTGCCGCATCCCTGCCAGCGTCTCCGAACTGCTGCCCGCACGAGGCGGCGGCCAGCCCAGCGCAGCCTCGTCCTCAGTATTCGGAATATTGGATATCTCTGTGCGGTGGCCGCGGCAGCGGGACCCTGGGCTGGGTTCATTGAGCTGCTTCGTGTCCCCTCATCCTGTGCACAGGACCACGCGGCTCCGTGGCCCCGTCCCGCCCGGCAGAGTGGGATGGTTCTTGCTGGTGTGAGCTCTTGGTGGGATCCTATGGACACGGGGCGGGATGCGCAGCCCTGGCTGCCCCCCGCACCCGGATCAGCTTCACCGTGTTCCCGGCGCCCCTGGGCTGCACCCGCCACCCACGCCCCATGGAAGGGAGAAACAACCCGAGGGGCCCCGGGGGAAGGGGCRGCCCTGCCTGCGCCTCCCGCCCTCGCGGGAACTCACGCTGATTTTCGTCGCGTCCTTGGTGGCCTCCTCATGCTGCGACGCCGGGAGCTGCGGGAGGAGCAGAGGAGACCCTGTTAGTTGGAGGTTCCGGCAGCACCGCATTCCCGGTGGGAGCAGGAATGGGAGCGGGAGAGCAGGAGAGGGCGCAGGAGCAGCATCGCTCCCTGGCGCTGCTCAGGTGGTGGCACTGCCAGGATGGCTGCCAGGGCCAGGGACARAGACTCATTAAAATACCTAAAGCTGCTCTTCTTATTCAGCCCTTATCTCTGTGTGCACAGCAGGAGGCCGAGGGAGGCTCTTGGCTGGCAGGACACCCGGCCAGGCGGGATGAGGACAAGCGGATGCATGCGGTGCCATGGGGAAGTGCGAGCACAGGGCAAAGCCCCTGGCCGGGATCTCGCTGGGAGCTGCTGGTGGGTCCAGAGCCAGCTGGGAATGGCCTCATTYGGGATGGGGACATTGTGGGAATGGCCTCATTCGGGATGGCGACAGTGCAGGAAGGCCCCCTCGGGATGGGGACGCCGCGCCGGGCCGGCACGTGCGGGCCGGGCCAGCAGGGCCTTACCTGGCTGGAAGGCCACGTCTGCTTGTCCGCCCAGTCCCTGTGGTTGCGCACGTACCACCACTGGATCTCCAGCGAGTAGGCGGGGGAGCCGCTGCCGCGGAAGGAGCAGGCCATCTCCACGTCCTCGCCCGCCTGCGCCGTCACGTCGTGCGGCGTCTCGGTGAACAGGGCTGCGGGCGACGGAGCGGCCATGCRGCACCCGCGGCGGAGCCGGCAGCTCCGCGGCGGATCCGGGGGCCGCGACCGACACGGCGGCGGCGGYGGCGCGGCTTCGAGGTCGGCACGAAGGGCTCTGCGGTGCCGACTGCTCCATCGCCCGCGGGCACCGGGAGCGCTGCTCGCTCCGCAGCCTCTCTGGCACCGGGAATGCAGCTCCGCCTGCAGCCCCGCCGGCACCAGGAATGCCGCTCCGCCTGCAGACCCCTGGGAACACGGGGCTCCCAGCGCATCGCGCCAAGCCTGGAGCCGGGCGCAGAACAAACCCTTATCAGCCCAGGGGAGCAGTTAATGCCTCCCGTATCTGCCTGTCCCTCCAGACACATGGAAATCCCATCTACTTATCGCTTCCCTCTAATCCAGCTCTGCAGGGAGCTGGGGGAGCGGCGCCGCGAGCGCTCCGGGCAGGGCTCCGGCCCGCTGCTACCCACACAGCGGCTCCATCGGCCCCGCTCCGGCCCCGCTCCCCACGGCCTCCCCGCCGCCCGGGAGCACCGGCCGGAGCCGTCCTCCGGGAACCGGCTTAATTAGGGAGTTGAAGGAGCCGGCGCTGCAGCCGAKAGCCTCTGGTCTCGGGCTCACGTCTAAATTAGTCTGCACACAATTAGAATGAGCTCGGGCACACCGAAATCAGGCAAATGAGCAGGGGGAAAAAAAAGGCTTGATTGCATCAAGAACCTCCTTCCTTTCCAGTTTTAATTGGGAAGCTCGTGTATCGACTGCCCTCAGGACTTGGACTTCTCGAAGCTCCCGAACACGAGCACGTGGCGCCAGGAACCAGACCCTGGATCCTTGGATGAGCTGGGGAGCATCCACTGCAGCTCCCGCCCGGCACCAGCCCCTCCGGGGCGGCTGCTCCAGAGCCGGGGCTGATCTGGCCCGGCAGAGCTTCCGCTCAGCCCCTTTCCCGGCGCTCCTCGTGCCCGGAGGCRGCTGCATCGCGGAGCCACGGGCGGCATCACGGCGAGGCCCCCRCAGACCCGGCTCCGGAGCAACCGCTCCATGTGTGGGCACCTCCCTCGGCTCCACGGGTGGCACCGGCACCACCAGCGCCAAGGACGGGACCAGCTGCCACCAAACCCAGCTGTGAGCCCTGCCCTGCGGAGCCATTTCACTTAACATTAATTGCTGCTTAATCTTCATTCAATATTTGGAGAAGCTCCGTTGATTCCTAACAAGTGGGAGGCCCRAGCGTGTCCTTTGGGGCCGCCTGGCAGGGCTCGAATCGCAGGGCTGGGGGTCCCAGAGCCCCCGAGGCTGTAGTGCAGAGCCTGGAGCCGCCCCGGGACGGGACACGGGGACGGACGAGCCTGGAGGCGCCGGCAGCCTCGGCCGCCCCGGGCGACCCGAGGCAAAGCGCGGCCACAGGCAGGAGCAGCCGCCTGCAGCGGCTGCCAGAGGTAAAATAAAGAATTGCTTTAATTAGCGCGGTTACGGCATCGCCCTCCGGTCAGGCTGCGACTTGKCAGCCGGCAGCAGCGCTTCCGAATGGCCCGTGACAGTGACAGACGCTTTGGGGACCCTCCAGAGGCGAGAGCAGAGGGRCAGAGGGGAGGGAGCAACAACCTGGGTGCCTGCATTGAAGCCCCAGCCGCCTGAACCAAACCCTGCAGCCTGCACTGAGCCGGCATCCTGCACCAAACCTGACATCCCACACCAAACCCGGGATCCTGCACCAAACCCGGCATCCCGCATCGATCCAGCATCCCGCACTGATCCAGCATCCTGCACCAAACTCCGCATCCTGCACCGAACCAGCATTTTGCACAGAACTCGGCATCCTGCACCAAACCAGTATCTTGCACAGATCCCCGCAGCCTGCACCGATCCCCACATCCTGCACCGATCCCCACATCCTGCACAGATCCCCGCAGCCTGCACCGATCCCCACATCCTGCACCGATCCCCACATCCTGCACCGATCCCCGCAGCCTGCACCGATCCCCGCATCCTGCACCGATCCCCGCAGCCTGCACTGATCCCCGCAGCCTGCACCGATCCCCGCAGCCTGCACCGATCCCCACAGCCTGCACTGAGCCCCATGCCCTGCCTGAGTCCCGGCCTCCTGCACCGACCCCTCCGGCCGCCCCGCAGCACAGACATCCCCGGAGCAGCCGCTCCGGCTGCCG